GTGCCAATGGGTGACTTGGGAGCACAGGATGGACAGCTGTGGCTGCTCTGTCCGTGATGCCCAGGACAGCTCCTGGTGGCAGTGCTGTGTCACTCACACTGAGTGCCAGAGCACAGACCTGGCTGTGTTGTGCCCACACCCAGGTCCTGGGGACTTCTCCTGTCTTTTCCATGAGCTGCCCAACAACTGGGCTTTGGAAGGTGGGAGGTTCCCAAGACCCCCAAAAGTGCCAAGCAAGAAGCCAGAGTTGGGTGAGTGTCAGGGCAAGCCTCCATCCATGCCTCTTGCCTTGGGGAGCAGAAAGTCTTGGTCTCCTGCTCTCTCCTGGAAACACATCACTCCTTCCCTTCCACACTGCACACATTCAGGGGAATTTCTTTCCAGGGACAGCTCTCCATAGTGCTCCCACAGATTTTATCCCCACAGCACTGCATGTCCCACTCCAGATCACATTAAGCAATGTGATGAGCACCCCTCCCATGAGCATCCATCTTCTCCCTTCCTTCCCCCAGGGGAAAATTGAGTGGGAATAGTTTTAATTAACTAGGCTGTGCATGCATGGTGTTTATACCTACACAGGCAAGGCTGAACAAGTGTGCCTTGCTCTTGGAAAGAGAGGCACTGAGGTTTGTGGCCTCTCTGAAGTTCTAATCCTGCAGTGGAGAGCCAGCTCCAGAGAAAGCTCTGGGTTTGACTGCACTGGGCTTACCCCAGCACAGAGCAGAGAGGGGTGAATGTCTGGGCCCAGAGCTTGGTCACTCTGCAGAGCTAAGGAAAATCTCTGTGCATCCCACACAAGGACCACTGGATGAGACAGAGATGCTCCCAATGGACCCTGGGACTTCAGGAGGAGCCTCTGCAGATGGCTGACATGACATTTTAGGCAGGATTCAGAAGTGAAGTTGGGACACCTACATTCAGATATATTTGCAGCTGTCTCTGTGAGCTCTTGGTGTCTCATCTCACTTTAGTCCACAGAGATCTTGTCCAGCCAGACTCCTCCAGCCAGCAGGGATCTCCTCTCCATGGAGGTACATGGAGACACAATCAAAAGCCAAAATAATGTCTTAGCCTTGATCTGGCTAAGGCCTTGGGGATCCTCCTTCTGATATATGTGTGTAATGCAGAGTTTAGCATCATGCAAAAAGCCATCTGTCCTCTTTTCCAAAGGTATTTAAAATGAACTTAAAAATCTGGCAGGAAGCACACTTATTTTATATATAAGAATGCCTAATACTGGCAGCTGTGAGACCTCTAAAAATTAAATTATTTTTTTACCATTGTATAAATTAAAAGGGCTTTCAAATAGTCTGACTATTTGTCAGTACAGGTTTTGGGTAAGGCTGCATTTCACGAGGTGCCCACAGAGGAGATCTCTCAGAGTGGCATATGGGCAGTAGCTGATATCTGATTTACTGTGTTCCTCATCATGTTGACCCTATAGACTGTGGAAATGTATCCTCAGAGATGTTTTTCTGCCCATTTCTGGTAAACCCAGGGGGACAACAAGCTACTTGCTCAAAATGAGAAGAAACCCTATCAAAGGGACAAGGACCAAACTTGGTTCACTCAAAGCCCAGCATTGTTCTGGCCACTTGTTTGTCTGCAATAAGGAATTTTTTTTTACTGTTTTCTCCTTCTTACAGCTATTTATAGTTTCAGTTCATAACCAGTGGTTAATATTTTCAAAGTAGTCAAGCATGTGGTCACCCACACAGAAGATGTCACTGATTCTGCTGTGCTGCCTAAGTGCTGCCCATGATATTCAGGATCTTTCTGCAGGGATCAGCGGGGAGCTGTTGGCAGAGGGCAGGAAAGATGCCCTGCTGCCTTGGGAAGAAGATCTTGCTGAGTCTACTGCACTCTGCAAGGCTCTGGGTGAGTTTGCAAAGCTGTTACCTTCTCCTGAAGATGTCCCATGTTGGATTCATGGATATAATTATTATTTACTGAATTTAACCCACTCTTTTCAAAGTGCAGCTGAAAGTTCCTGAATTCATGGGTTAAAACTTATTGCACTCTGGATCAAAGACTGGTATTTCATGGCTCCTCCTGCACTGTTGTGCAGTGACAAAGTTCCTGGTGACTTAAGTGGGAGAGAGGCTGTGTCCTGGGAGACAAAACTTAATTGAGTGTAATACCACAGGGCATGTAAAGTAGGACAACACATCCTGACCTCATTTTGCCCATACATAACCCTGCTGACATCAGTGGGAGCTGCACATATGCAGTCAGGAGGTGAAATGTGCCCACTCTTGGCTGCTCTAGGAAATTCTGACTCGCCTGATAAATTCTGTTATTTGGTGGTGCAATATGAGAGTGTTGGATACACCAGGTAAAGCTGAGCAAACACAGCTCAGCTCCCTGCTTGTTTGAAGTTGTGGAAAAACTTCTTTTGACGCTGGTGGTTGTTGGACTGAGCCCACAGTACACAGTGATTCATAATCATTTTCCTCAATGAAAGCAACCAGGTTGGTTTGTTGTTATTTGTGGGATCACATATTCATTATTTGCAAATATTTGAATGGCAGCTGGACTTTCTGATGCCTGTGAACCCTGTAGCTTCCATTGGTGTTAGCACAAAATGGTTATTCACACAAATACTCTGCCAGAACAGACTTGTTTGATACTGTACATTTATTACACTCCTGTTTCCAGAAAAACGTTGCTGAGTAGAAAGGGCATCATTTGGCAAAGCCAACAAAGCTTACACCCAACCAGTGACTATTCCAAGAGAAGTGTTCATGAGCAATCCTGAGACTAATATTTATTTGCATTCATTACTGTCTAATAATTAAAACCAGTTTTTACTGCTGTAGAAAACAGGATGGGGCTGACTTACAAGGAAGAGGTGAGCTGGGTGAGTGAGGTTTCAGCTCTCTGCTCAGGGCAGGCTGCAGGAGCAGCAGCAGAGCTTTGCAGAGCTCTGAATGTCCCAGATTCTGACTCTGTGATTTCTTAAAACTAATCTTGTTTTAACTCTTTGGTGTCCTTCCTCACAGAATAAATGCAAGGAGACTATAAAGGAAGATTCTGGATAGATGGGATGCAAGGCTGCTGTATTCAGGAAAGCTGTTAGCTTATTTAACAACACCAGTTACTCAGAGGGATGGAGCCCCTCCATCCTTGCAGACATGTGGGACCTGACAGAGGCTGGCTCCAGCAGATTGCTCTAAGTGGGCCCAGTATGGGCTGAGACAAGACCTGGGACCACCAGAGGCTGCTTACAGCCTAAACTGCTCAAAAAAAAAAAAAAAAAGGCCCATTAAATGCTTTAATGCTCCAAACTAGCCAAAGCCTGATCTATATCCTGCTTGTAAATAAGTTCCCCCACCCAGTGAAAGCCTCCGACAGGTCTGTGACACAGTGTCTGTCTGTCATGAGACCAAAAGGAAGTTGCTGTAATTGCACACAGATGCATCATCCACTCCCTTGTATCATCAAAATTCTCAAAACTTGGAATGATACAGCATTCCCAAGAATGGCTTCCCTGTGAGCACATCCCCTTTCCAAGGGAGGCATCCTGATGTCCCAGAGGTCTGGTCCAGGCAAGCTTTGCCCCAGAGATGGGTTGAGGATCCCTGTGCCATTCCCGGAGCCCAGTAGCTGGGCAGAGCTGCATGAAGCACACGGTGCTCTCAGGACATCCCTGCTCCCCTGTCCATGTCCAACCCCTCCTGCCCTTGGGCAGCAGCCAGATATGAGCCTGGTGGCCAAGCAATCCTCCACAGCCACACACAGCATCCCTTGTCACCTCTCCTCCTCAGTAACACAAACGGACATTTGTTCACACCAAACTGAGCAAATCTAATATTTATTTCACATTTAGGTCACAGGACATCAAAACAAATATTTTTGCCCCAAACAGATATCCCGACCTTGTGGTTTCATTCCTGATTTGCAGTAATATTTGTCTGAAGAGATGTCTTTCTCTCACTTAAAAATGAAAGGAAAAGAAGTTATATAGGGTCCTGCACTCAGCTTTAAGGTGCACAATTGCTTGTGCATCCAAATCACCCCTGGATGCCACTTTTTGATTTCACTGGAACCAGGACAAGATCATTAAACTCATATTTCCTGCATTTCTTCACTCCTTTTCATCCCTGAAAACCAAAATTATTTAAATACATACGTCTAAACACCCCAAATGCAAAGCATTAAAAATTATATTTAACAATCTTGGCCCAAACAGTGGCTGTGGGGCCCCTATCAAATCTGAGACAATCTCATTGCTTGTAAAAATAGGTTTTTTTAAAGATTTTTTTTCCCTTTCAGCCTGCATAGGCCAAGGATCACATTAACACTGCTCCTTTGAAAGCTCTGAAGGGCTCTGTACATGGAAAATTGACCTTTTTTTCAGTTAAGTTTGAACTAGTTTTAAGGCAGAAACTGCTGAAGAGAGAATTTCAAAAGCTTAAGAAATCTAGTGGTCCCTTATGGCTTGCAGTAATGAGTGAGATAAAATGCTCTTTCTGGTTTCCTTCCCCCTGTAATTGAAATAGATGCTGTACTGGGGCTGCAAAACTGCTGCCCAATTATCGCCCAGCCAGGCTGATTTACATCTCCTGCTCAGCCTCAGCATGGTGTGAAATGCTCAGGAGGGCCAGTGTAAACATATTTCTATCCTGGTGGGACGTGCTGAGCGCCTAATACCAGGATAATAATATTATATATGTAGACATATATGTGCATGTATGTCTAAAGACCCAGCTAGGCAAACTGTCCCATGTGAGGGCACAAAGAGCTGCTGGCTGAGGCACAGCACAGCTCCCTGGCTGGGAAACACCTGCTTCACCCCAGTGCTTGGCTTGGATTTCAGCTGCACTGTGGATGTGATCCTCTTCCACTGGCACATCCCAGCTCCCCTTTGGAGGTTTTCCTGGTGTCTGAGCAGCAGGGCACTGCTGGAACTGCTGGTCAAGTAAACACAGACTAGTCCCAGTCTCATTAGGGTCATTTCTCACATTGGCTTGGGTGGGGGGCCTGGAGAGGACAGGCAGCTGCTGGTGGGCTGCCCTTCAGGGCACCTCTGCCACCCCACAGAACCCTTCCAAATGAGTTGGCTTTGCAGAGCCACGCAATATTTCACAGGTAAATGACAGACTGCCTACGTGGCTGTAGGTGGGAGGAGAAGGAGGTTGTGGCCACCACATGAAGCCACACTGGCACAATTCCTGGTATGTTTGAAGAGTCCAATACCAAATCCCTCAGGATTCCCACTCTGAGTTTCAATGTCATCAGGGTAAAATCCTCAGAGGTGTGCGATAGGAATGCTGTCACATATCAGACATTTCAGGAAGTCTCTGTAATTTCTTTAATTATTCAGACAACAGAGCACAAGGATAATAGCTTCAAGTACATTCTTATACATTATTTTGACAGTAGTAGATATGTATTTAGTCATAAACTATTCTGTAGCCACCACTATGTGTACATTTTATACAAACTATTGCCATACTCGGACCCTGAAAACGGACAGTGACATCTCCTAGATGTTTAGCACAAGGTTATGACAGTACATCCTTCATACGAGAGCTGTGGCTACGGGTTGGATTGGCCCATCTAAGGGAGCACTTCTAGCACACCACAGAGGGGTGATCCTGATGGGAGGCGCCAGAGGGAGAGGTGGAATTCAGACACGGTGAGAGGAAGACATAAAGCTGCTTGGAATAAGCGTGACGGAGAACACGGCACAGCATTTCTCTGCTCAGCGAAACAGGCTGATCCTGGTGTAAGAGCATCAAAACTTCTCTCACACCACAAAGATCTGAGCTCATCTCGGCCTTTGGGTAAAGATTAAATGAAGCAATGTCTGGTGTGGTCCCATCCAGGCATGTGCCCTGCCCTGACACAAGTGTGGGCTCTGGTCTGATGGCTCTTTAACATCTCAGTTGCAATTTAGATTGAAGCCCTCCAGCCAGTGGCTTTAAGTTTGATCATTGACATCCCTAAACACCTCCACCACCCGACCTCTGGAGAAGGCACCTTCCAACACGGTCATTTCTTTGAGTGTAGAGGTCTCAAAAAATGGCAACCACCTCTCAGAGACAGGGAAGGAGAGTTCAGACACCCAGATGCCACCAAACTAAGGCCAGACTCTTACAGCAGAGACTCATTTGTTCCACGATCACATTCTCACATGCCCCAAATCATCTGGATTTGCAGCCCTCAGCACACCCCAAAGACAGGGAGGTGGCAGAGTCCAAGCTGGGGTGGGCAGCAGGTCCTCAGCACCCTCCAGGCAGTCCACAGTCCCCCGTGATGCCTTTAGTTGGGTAGGCATGAGGGTGGCTTGGTTTCTTTCCTGGTGCTGCAGCACACTGTGGTCACTCCAAAGTCTCATCACCCTGGCCATGTCCAAGCTTTGGAGGTTGGAAGTGGGGCTGGACTAGAAGCTGACAGGAAGGAGAAACCACATCCATCTGTTGGGGGTTCACACAGCAGTGCTCGTGCGTGGAACTTGGCCACCAGCTCTTGACAGTGCTCCAGAAGCTCCTGGGATTTCAGCGTGGAAGAGCACGGTCGACACTCTCTGGAGATGGCCCCAGGCAGGGACATTCTTGGAGGCTGTGGAGCTGCCATCCATCCCAGCAGAGAACATGGCTGTGTCTCTGGAGCAAAAGGTCTGGTGGGTGAACATCCTAGAGTGGCGAGTAATGGAAACCAAAGAAAAGGTGAGAAGACATTCAAGGCAAGCTCCCTTCCGGCACGGTCCCGTCGCAGACGCGCACACACATGCACACACAATGTTTTGCAAAATTTTTACGGGGATCCTGGAAACCCTCCATGGAGGAGGACGCCGGGCAGCAGAACCTCACTGATCAGCACCTGCCAAGGATGATCCCCTCGGGGTGGGTTGGGGCTGGGACCAGCCAGGGGAGGCAGTGCTGGCCCCACCACTCAGCTCCTAAAACACATCTCCAGCACATTCACCCGTGGGTGGCTCGAGATGGGGTCCTGCATTACAGCTGGGGAATAAATGAACAAGTCTTTATCCTTTTGTTTTGTAAAGGGTGTTTTGCTCTGTTCTCAGCGGCCCCAAGCTCTGTGCTGTTACTCAAAGCAGCCAGTGAAATCTGGTGGCTGTCTCCTTCTTCCAGCATCAGCCACGTGAATCCCTCTACCTCACCAAAGTCAATGTCTCTCCCTCAGATTTCCATCTTCTGGGCACCCAAATTGAAACCCACTGAAATCCCAGGGTTGCCACAAGGTGAGGGCAGCTGTCTGCCTTCACATTAATGCGCTTCAAAGGGAAAACTTGATTTAGCATCCTCAGAATTTTAAGAGCCATCTACAGTCTCCATTCCAGAGTGGGAAGTGGACATGGAGTCGGGGCTGGAGCTGGAAGAGAGGAGCATTGCCTGAGCAGGGATGGGGAGCCAGGGCTCTGGCAAAGGGAAACCCGTCTGCCGGTCGTTCGTGCAAATAAGTGAGGTTCTACTGTCAGTACAAGAGATTCCAGGTTATGCACAGATGTGATGGATTCGTTTCCTTAATTAAAGTACCAAAATTAAATGTTATAAGCAACACATCTAAATAAAATAACGGGCACTCATTTAGGCATCATGTTTCCTAAACCAACAAGCAAAAAGGAAAAAAAAATGGGATGCACCAGGAACTCTTAGTTATTATATACTAACCAAACTGTGCATGGCACATTTTATTTCTATAAAACTATTAAAACTATTACAAAATATTCAAAAATACATTTTAGTAAATTTACAGCAGTTATTTCTCAATTTATTAATGCAAAACATCCTTTTCCCCCCTCTGTACAAACTACCATCTCCATCGTCACAGAATTGCCGCCATGTGCGCTTTTTAAAAAATATTATTTTCTAATAAACTTTTTCTGAAGTTAAAAATAACAAAGTTTCTTACGGTTTTTGCAAATAAAAAGTTTGTGTAACAGTCTTGACTTCCATGAACTTCCATGAACGTGGCCAAATGATGTTTTTACAAAGCAAAACATGGAAAACAATACAGGAAATGATGTTACATTTGAAACTATTTAAATTAAAATAATATATTCTCATATTTTACACTATTTCAAAAAACGAAATGTGATTCAGTTAAGTATTGATCTCTCAAAAAAATCTAATTTACAATTCTGTGTATAAAAATATAATTTACGGACCCCCATGAAGTTTGTCTTTTTTTGTGTGTGTTTGTTTGTTTGTTTGCTTGTTTTTTAGACTTGCTGAAATGAAGGAGCAATGTAATGGAGAGATGGGAAAGTACAGAATTTTGCTTTCTGAAAGTCAGGACACACGTGACATGTAGAAAAATAGACTCTGCGCAGTTTTGCTTGGCCTCACAAAATAATTTTTTCCCCTGTGAGTACAGTTCACATGACAATAAATTATCAAAGAAACTATTTAAGGCTCTTGAAGGTCCGGTTCATATCATTTAAAACATCTATTCAAAATACCAAAGAAATAAATATCCAGGAGAGGAGGAAAAAAAACAACCAACAAACAAAACAAAAGAACAAATAAAAATATATATATATTTATAAACTAAACAGAACAGAACTTCCAGGGGTCTTTGTTTCCCTTTAAGTCTACTTTGGACTGTCCTACTTAATTATTATTATTTTATTATTATTATTTTTAAGTCTTAATCCGTGCTCTCTTTTAAAAATATGTATTTTTTTCTTTTTTTTTTTCCTTTTTGTTTTTCTTTTTCTTTTTTTTTTCTATTTTTTTTTTTCTCCTTTCTCTCCCCCTCCGTGTCTCTGTCTCTCCGTGGAAGCCTGGCGGGCGGCCGGCGTGGCGCGGGGTCCCCTCAGCTGGATGACACCATCATGCCCAGCGGGTGCAGAGAGTCACTATCCAGCACCCAGCTGCCGATGCGGTAGAGGAGCCGAGAGTACCAGTGGATGCCGGGGGCCGTGGGGTCTCCCATGGGCGACCCCTCCCCGGAGGGCCCGAGGGCGGCCAGCACGGCCTGCAGCAGGCGGAAGGGAGCGAAGGCCCAGTGCGCCCAGCTGTGCTCCTCGATGACGGCGTAGCACGAGGCCAGCACGCGGTCGATGAGGATGGTGCCCTGCGCGGTGAGCGGCGCGTAGGCGCCCGACGCCTCCTCCCGCAGCGACACGCGGTGCACGGCCGCCGGCAGCAGCCGCCGCCCGCCCTCGCCTAGCACGAAGACGCGCTGGCCCGGCCGCACGCGGCTGGCGAACAGCGCCCGGCTGCCGGCGGCGCCCGCCTCGGACTGGTTCTGCTGGGGGGCCACGAAGAGGAGGTGGGCGGCCGTCAGCAGCAGCCGGGCCCGGGGCTGCCGGGTCTCGATGACGTAGAAGAGCTTGTGGGAGCCGTCCTCGCGGTCCAGGAAGGTGAGGAAGTCGCTGTAGAGCAGACGGCCTTCCGTGTCGGCCACCAGCACCCGGTCTCCAGGCCGCAGGTCCTTCACCAGCTTGGTCCCACCTTTCTCCAGGTGCACCGTGGCCGAGCCAGGGAAGCAACCCCCAGATTTGGCCGCCACTGAGTTTTCTGTGCAAGGAGAGAGGCACAGCAGGATTAGAGACACATGCGGGGCTGAGGCATGGGAGCATGCAGGAACTTATCACTTGCCCAGCCACCCCAACCCACCAAGAAAGCTCAGGAGACAGCCAGACTCCCTTCTGAAATTCCTCCACCCTCATCTAATAGCATACCCCATTTGCAATCAGTGGGTCAAGTGAGAATCCCCTTTCTGCCAGATTTCAGCCAATGCAAAATCTCCTCTGAGTTAGGAGTTATAACAGTGATTTTTCTCATAAAGGAAATGAGCCAAAATATTTCCACTGAGAAAACTGTTCCAGAACAAAATCTCTTCTGGAAGAACTTCCCATTTGGCTACTGTTCACCCTGCACTGACACCTGATGCCAGATAACTTGCAGGCTTTCAAAGCAGAGTGGTTTTGCTGGCATAAAGTTTCTTCTCTAAGCAAGTGCCTGTGCTCTTGATGCTCGAGGTCCCCACTCAGCTCTTACTCAAGAAGCACATCTAGGGCAGCAAACAGCAGAGGACAGGAGGAGACTTTGCCCCAGGGTGCACACAAATTTTGCCACTGCAAAGCAACAATCCAAATTTCCCAAATCCCCCTGCATCCTGCTGCACAAGCCCCCATGCTGCCTCCAGGCTTGCTGCTCAGCATGGTGGCTACTGGGGCACATCCCACATTCACAGCACCCCTGCCTGGCATCTCCAGCACTCTGCTTGAATCCTCTTTCAAAAAAGAAAGAAACATCTCCCTCGCCCTAGAAGAAGCTTGCTCTTCCCCATCTCGGAGAGTGTGGTCCCAGAGCAGCCCAACACCTGTGCCAGGCCAAGCAAATGCCTCCTCCACTTCCTCCAGCTCTTGGGAGTTACTCAGAGCTTAGAGCAGCTTTTGCTGCTTTTCTGTGCTACTGAGAGGAACAATCTCAGACTTAAAGAAAGCAAAAGCAGCAATGAAACTCTGTCTGCCTTGCAAATCACTTTTTGGAAGCTCAGCCACCTGTGGGGTGGTGGGAAAAAACAGTCTGCTGTGTCCAGGCTGATCTCTGTCTTAACAGAGGGACTTGCAGTGTTCCTAACCACTCTGGTTTTTTTTTTTTTTTTTAAATATTGGGTAATACCCCACAGGATGTCATGGTAGCAAGTGCTGAGATTCCCCATCCCTCCCTTGCCTTTCCCTGCTTTCTCCCAATTACTCCCTAGACCAGTTAAGAGACCTGGTGATGTAGCTCCTAAAGATGGACAGATTTAACATTTTGCCTCTGTGGCTGCTACTGAAATTCCTATGATTGAAACAAATCCTTTGAGTATCTCCTAATGACTTTCTCAGGAAGGACAGGAAGGGTGAAAATTAGACCGTTATTGATTTGCTAATGACTTTATTGCTTCTCCTTCAGAAATGAAGCAGCAAGATCTCCAAGGCCTCCCTCTTCAGGGAGGACATGGCAACAAACAAGCTATGTGCTTTATGTGGAGGCCTCTGCTAGTAAACTACACCTTCCTACAAGCTGGCAGTAAAGGCCTGGCTAGAGCTTTGTTTGCATATTCAGGGACTTGATGAATAGATGTAGTAGTGTAGCAGCTCTACAAACATGCCAGTGAATTGGCAGAGGTGTGAAAATCTGCTGCTTTGAGCAGTGCTTGTTTGGGTTCTCTAATTAAAATCCAATAAAGGATCAGCATTGTCATTCTGATTCATGTAATAAATGCAGACACTCTTGGAAGAGAGGACACTTCCATTTTTTTCCCAGCTTCTTCCCCCCCTTTTTCTCCCCCTCCCTATTTGTTCAGGTGCAGAAACCCTCTGTGCCAATTCACACACATACTCTCCAAAAACCCAGGACCTTCCAAGCACTATTTGCACAGCAGAGCCACTTTTCCAAGGCACTCAAGATCTGTATTTGAATTTTAAATGTAGAAGCTTGCTCTAAATACTTGCTGTAGCGCATTATCAATGTCCCTTTTACCACCCCTGCCTCTCCCTCCTCTGTTCTGGTGACAATAATTCAGGCCTTGGGGGAACTCTTCTTTGCATTCCAGTCTCCTGGATCATACTTTTTGCAAACAGAGATCTAGATAAAGAATCTTCCTGCTGGCATTATGGGATTTAATCTTCTCATGAGATGCTCTGTCATGAAATGAGGTTTGGACAGTTTAGGATCAGGCTGAGAGAGTGGAATTCAAGCCTGCTCCCTTCAGCCTGCCTCGTACAGTCACACGACCCTGCCTGACACCCTCCAAATATTGCCCCCAAGTCCTTGTGTGCCGAATCTCAATGAGCAGCTTGGGGTGGCTCCTCTCCTGTGAAACACCCTGGGGTGGATTAGGAGGTGCTCCTGGGCTAAGGTCACCGCGCGCCACAATCGGACACCTTGCGCTACAAAGCCCATCTTGGCTATTGAAAGGGGTGTTTCAGATCTCCACGCAGCTGACAGCTTTGCAGGGCCTCTCTTCGGCTAGAAAGGACCCGGGAGCTGAACAAAAGCAGTAGCAGGCTCTCAGGACAAAGCCCACATGGGCCAGGAGAGGTGCTCAGCCCCTGGGGAGCTCCGGGCTGGAGTGAGGGATGTGAACCCTCCTGCAGGTGGGCACGGCAGGGCCGGGCTGTTTCCCTGCCGTGGGGCTGCTGGGTTCGAAGCAAACGGCTATATTTAAAGAAAGCCCATTATTTTCTTTTGCAGCCAAGTGTCTCCTGACACATCCAGCAGGTTGCTGGGCGAGGGTATGCTCTTAAAAAGAGCTTTCGATATCATACAGCTGGATGGAGGGAGGCGGTGGAGCTGGGGGCTGTCACTCGCTGACAGATTTGCTCCACCAAAAAACGTGTCAAGTGTCAAGAAAAGAAACTCTGCGAGTCGGGGATTTCTTGCGAGCTGTTCCCGGATTGAGACAGCGTGTGGCGTTGTAAGCACAGGGGAGGGGAGGGAAAAAAATTATGTGTGTGTGTGTATCCCTATCTGGGAATTTCCTAGCGGCTACCGCTGAAGGAGGCTGGGGACCACGTTACTTATTTATTTTCCTGGCCGGCTCCCACTCGGAGATTAGCGCTCGCGAGTAAGGCGTGCAGCCAGAGGGGCGGCTGGAGACGGCCACGAGTGTTTGTGTTGAACATGCTCCTTGGATGGGGAAAGCATCAGAGCCCACGGGGGGAGGAGAAGGGTGTGTGGCTGCGACGCAGCACTCGTGGGAAGGCTGGCCAAGAGTATCACCCAAATAAAAGTGCTGTGAAAAACTGCTGCAGCTGCCTTTGTTTTTTCCTTCCCCCTCACTCTTTCCTTTCCCCCACCTCTGCTCCGACGGGGTGGCTAAGAGGCGGGGGGAAGGCCGGCTGTCCCCTGGGGCTCTGCTGCCATCTCCGGCGGGGCAGGCCGGGAGATAGGGACCCTGCAGGGACGAGAGGAGGGAGCCCGGCGGCAGAGACAGGTCGCAGAAGGCTGTAGTCGCGGCCCGGCGTGTCTCCCCACCTCGACACGTCCCTGGGCAGGCTGCCCGCCTTACCTGCTTTGACGGAGCAGTGGATGTGCGCCTTGGACTCGTAGTAGACCCAGTCGAAGCCAGCCTCGACAGCCAGGCGGGCCAGCATGCCGTACTTGCTGCGGTCCCGGTCCGACGTGGTGATGTCCACGGCGCGGCCCTCGTAGTGCAGGGACTCCTCGGAGTGGTGGCCGTCCTCGTCCCAGCCCTCGGTTACCCGCAGCTTTACCCCGGGCCACTGGTTCATCACCGAGATCGCCAGAGCGTTCAGCTTGTCCTTGCAGCGCTGCGGGGATAGGGGCGGATAGGAAAGGGTCATTGTGGGGTGCTGCAGACAGGGGAACACCCCCCCTTCGTTATCGATCCCCCCTTGGGCCGCATCCTGCTTCCCTCTCCAGCCAAAGAGGCGGCATTCCTGCCCTCCCCGCCGAACCCGCTCCAGGATGGGCTCAGCCAGAGCTGAGCATCTTCTCCCCCGCAGCCAGAGAGGAACAGGGAGGTAGCTGAGGAGGAGGAGAGTGAAACCTGGGGACACGGGATGAATACAGGACCAAACACCACGAAGACCCACAGGGACGGACCATTTCCCTGTCCTGGCACCTGCTGCGGGGACCAGGGGACCCCCCTCTGCCGGCGCTGCCGTGCGAGCGTGGCGATTCAAAGCCACCTGCACCGAGCAAATTCCTGCCGCTAAGTGCCCTGTCCCTTCCCGAGAGCAAAGTTTCTGCCCAGAACAAACACTCGCCATATATCTCAGAGTCACGGATTCCCCCCCGGAATGTCTCTGCGGGCCTTTTCAGCTTAATTCTGTGTTGAAAAGGGTATCAATACATGTTAACAGCCTTTATGTGCTGGAGGGAGGGGTGGTTTTTTCTTGTCTCCCTTCGCCCATCACTCATTAGAGCCCTCAAAGCTGCATGGGCTGGGAGCATTCACTCTGCTTCAAACATACATCGGCGCTTGCCTACAAAGCCGAGCAAATCCATACAATAATATAGCTCTTAGTGGGAAGATGAAAAGCAAGGGAGGGCCAAGGAGGGAAGTTAAGCAGAGCAGGGATGCTATGCAAGCTAGGAGCCCCTTTGTGTGGAGTGAAACCCTTCCAACTCCTTGGGGAAAGTACTGCAGGGGTTTTCATTGACCCTTCAGAGCCACCAGCCTTCCCGGGGCTGAACTGGGCCCAGCAGCACCGGGAGCACGTAGGGATCAAGTAATGAGGGACACAGGACAGGGGAAAGTGAGGAAAAGAGGTGAGCTGAAACCATTAAAGTTTTGGGGAGAATCCCATCTTAGCCAGGCAGGGAATAGACACAGTGGTGACGGGGGAAAAGGACTCTCAGCCCAGCAGGAAATCAGCACCGAAATCATTGAAAAGCACTTGACTAAAGGTACAGAGTTAGAAACACACACGTTGCCAGATTTCTTCCTCCTTTTTGAGAGGAAAACAACTAGTGCATGTACCCGACGTTGTTCCCTTGATGCAAATACCGATGTGGCTGGAAGCCACGGCGGGATGCAGTAACCTGCTCTTCCCACACTTTTGCTGGCCTGACTGGTATGCCCGGCTTTCTGCAGGACCATTCTCCCCCGTGTGCTCACAGCACAGCCAGTAACAGAGCACAAAGTCCCCCTTTCACAGCTCCCAGGAAGGCAAAGCCCCTCCATTACTCCGACGACACCACTTTTAGGGACGTGACAAGGCTGCTTAGCAAGGAAGTTCCCATGCGTTCACCAACAGCCATAAAAGTGATTCCAGCAACACACAAGTTGATATAAAGAGATATAAAAGTCCCCGAGAGATATAAAACACGGTCATGAGCTCACTTTGGACTCTCTGGCCTACCGTTTTATGGAGAGAGACGGGTGTTTGGGTTTCGGCACCGTTCCCGGCAGCAAAGTGCAGTAGTACAAGGAAGTTGAGTTTGATTTATTTTATTTTTTCCCTCTCTCCCTCTCACACCTGAGTGGATAGATACGCTCCATCACTGATTTACAGGGGAAAGGGGGAGAAGGATCAAACATCTCAGCTGCTGATAAGGCGACAGCGCTGCGCGACACGGCGATGCCTTGCCCCGCACGGAGCAGCGGTGCGGGCAGGGACGCGGGCAGCGCCGAGGGGCTCCGGCCGCTCCGGCCCTGCCAGCACCACTTCCCGGCTCCAGGCGAAATAAAGAAGAAGAAACGGCCTCCTAAAGGACTTTTCTCCCTTTTATACTGCCTGAGCTGGATTGTCAGAGTCAAAAGCCGTGAAGCCCAGACTATTTATTAATTCATCGGGTCGTGTGCCACAAATCAAGCCCAATTCTGTTCAGCCACCGTGAAGCTCAGCAGGGCTGCCTCCACTAACGCTTTGTGTGGAGGCAAAGTTGTTCAACAAGCCCTCTCCTGCCAGCTCCTAATCTCTTCACAAATGAATTGCTTGAAGGAAACACTTAACAGGTACCTGTCAGTGTAAACAACCTGGTGGGCTTCCTAAATGCCAAGTTGATCTCTAAATTCCTCACATCACGCACTGGTTGTGTGCCTGCATTACACGAGATTGCTATTTTATTTCATACAAATTCCAGCTTTATCATACTGACCTGGCCTCCTTATCTCTCTCCCCAATCCAGCCAATGGCCGGGGTAGGGGGGGTAGGAAGGGGAGGAAGGGGGGAGCCCTTAGCAAACTGCTGGTGTCACCTGCAAAGTTGAGAACCTGACTTACCTACCTCTGTTTGCGTTCCCCCCCCCCTTCTTCTGGAGTTAATATTAACTAGCCACTAATGCATGCGGCAACCACTCTGCAAGTTTAACGATTCTGTCCATGAAAGATCTCTCCATGGTTGAAGGGCTCCCGAAGCCGGCGTTTAAAGGCTGGGATTTAACCAGAGGGTGCTGGCCGAGGGAGAGAGGGAAGGAGAGGAAAGCAAGGCAGGGAGGCCAGAGGCAGGACCGCACCCCGGGTCGCAGAGGACCCGGCCGTGCCCGGGCAACGGGGAGCGAGGGCAAGCAGTGCTCTCGCTGCCCGGCCCCGCTCCGCTGCCCCTCTCCCTGCCTGGCCCGGGGGAGCCGGAGCCCCGCTCGCTCCCCGACCTCGCTCCCCTCTCTGCCGCGGGTACCCGGCCCTGCGGCCTCCCCGGCCCCGCCGCTCTCAGCCCACCTCCCCCCTTTGTGTCTAAGGCACGGGAACAAGCACTGAAGGAGCGGGGGGGTGAAAAGTATTTGTTTTCGTTTCGTTCGTCTGAGGGAAGTTGACAGAAGGTCAGGAGTTCAGACGCTGCCAGCTAATGCAGCGGGAGCGGCCAGCCGCGTAGCCGGCGCGGCGTGCCCCGGGAGAGCCGCGGGGCCGGGGTCAGCCCGCAGTCCGCCCCCGGCCCGCAGCCCACCGCTCCCGACCGTGCCCCGGCTCCCCCCGCGCCCGCTCCCCGCTCCGCTCCCTCCGCTCCGCCGCGCACACGCACCGGCGCAGCCGCGCAGGGAGGGATGCGCCCAGCCCCGGCGGGAGCCCGTCTCCCGCGGAGCCGCCGCCGCCGCCGGGCTGCGGAGGGAAGGGTGAAACCCGAGCCGCCGCGATCGATACGCGAGGGGAGTAAGTGGAGCTGAAAATGCGAGAGATGCGGCTCCGGAGGCAGCGGGGGCGGAGGACCGCGGGTGCGCGGAGGGGCGCGGGCCGCGCCCGAGCGGGGACCGGCACCCGCTCCGCTCCGCTCCGCACCCGTGCGCGGGGCGGCG